TGTGTGTGCGTGCGTGCGTGCGTGCGTGTGTGTGTGTGTGTGTGTGTGTGTGTGTGTTGGGGGAAGGGGACATCCAGTGTGGAGATTAACATCCTGCTGTACGGGTGGATTCTGCAGCCCAGAAGGATTTAATTTTTGCATTTAACTTCGTCTTGTACGTGGTTGGCTTCATTCTTTCTCCTGGGCTTATTTCCTTCTCTCTACCTCCTCTCCACCTTTTCTCCTTCCTCCTGCCTTGCACCTTCTCTTCCTTCTTCTAGTTATGATGGAAAGGCAGACAGGTAGATTAGCAATTGTGTTGCTAGTGCCTGTGCCCTGGACTCCCCTAGTTCCTGGCCACTCACTATACACCCCACTGTCCTAAGCCCCCACTGAAACCCCTACGATTCCCTTAACAGACAGGACAGACTCAAATGCAAAGTCTGAGAATGTGGGGAGGAGAGAAGCCGGAAAGGGGTCACAGGGTACTGTGCTATATGGATGTACATCTCGGGATCCCTTATAACTACCTCCACCAGACATGCTGTGCAGGCTGGAATCTCTCCTCTGCTTAGTCACAAAGCCTTCTCAGCACTAATTAATTAGTTGGTACTGAGGTTTGAGCTGGGGCCTCACAGTCTACCACTTGAGCCATGTTCCAGTGCTTTTTTGCTTTAGCCATTTTTCAGAGAGGGTCTCATGCGGTTGTTCATGCCGGCCTTGGGCTATGATCTTTATGATCTTCCTACCTATGCCTCTTGCACAGGTAGGAGATGACAGTTTGAGTTACAATGGCTGGCTTATTTATTGAGATGGAGAACACATATATATTGTCTATATATAGTCTCTCCCTATATAGACATAAATAGACATATATTGTGAGTGTATACAATATATTAAAATATGCTTATTTGTATATATGCATACATACACACACTCATATATACATACATACATACTGTTCATACATACATAGAACTGTTCATTAGACTGGACTGGATCTCTCTGGGCAGATTGCTGCCTGTCCTCCAAACCCAGGTGGCTGTCCCCTGCTTGTGAAGCTTCCTCAGGCAGCTCAGGGCTTAGTCCCAGGCCACTTCATGACAGCCAGGAGACTGGATTGTAATTTATGTGTTTGCTGTCTGTTGTCTCCAGAGCCTCTGAGGCCAGCATGGTAATGAATCCATCTCAGTACCCCATCAGATTATCTGACAAGTATTAGGTTCGGTAAATGTTAGTAAAGTGAATGGCTGCCAGTCCCCTGCCCTGCCTGCTCTAGGCTAAATAGCCCCAAGCATACATCAAGGACAGTTTCCAGGAGATGATAGGAGGGTAGAGGCAATAAAATTTCTTCCATCTGGCTGGAAGCTGTGCCATTTAGGATGCAAAAGTGGTGCCTATTTGTTATTCCTTTCCAAATTCTCCTGATGTCCCTCACTATCCTAGGTCTGTATAAGATGGCACCACAGACACTGGTAGAAACTATCTTGCTTAATGTCACTGGCAGGGAGTAGCTCCCATGACCACAGTGGCACTGTTGCTACATCTCTCCTCCATGCTCTGCACACCTCCTTTGAAAACAGAGTATTTTGAGGAGATGTGTTAAGTTCACTGGCATTCCCAATCCAATCTAGTCTCTGAGGTGGTTGAAAGATGGTCAGGAGCCCACAAACAAGTCTGAAATATGCCCTGCAAGGCCTTGCATCTGAGGCCAATACTAAGGGGCCTCACAACCCACAGAGGACAGGTAGCAGGCACAGGAAGACTTCGTACAGATGACAGATGGGACCTACAGGCCTTTCTGAGACTCCCTGGAAAACAGCCAAGCTGAAATGTAATCAATAAACAAAATTGGCAAATCTAGGAATTGTCAGCAATCATCTATGCCTACTGAGCTAAAAACCATGATGCTAGAAGGCAGAAAGAAACAGCAGGTGGTGGGTCTTTAAAGTAGGAGAAAGGAGGGGCAGAGGAAAGGATGGGTCCATAGCTGCTGGACAGACAGACAGACAAACAGACAGACAGACACACACACACACACACACACACATATATTGGCAAAAAAGGGGAATGTGGGGACTATGACAGACTTTATAAACAGTTAAGCCCACCAACTTCATCCCTTAACTGCCTGTCTGTAAGGAAAATGTCTGCTTCTAATTGGATGCTCACAGAATATGTGTTTATGGACATGCATGTGAGCAACAGAGCCTGCTGTGATTTCCTAAATGAACACTACAGTGTTCCTCCCTCCCTATCTCTGTTTTTCTCTTTTACACACACACACACACAAATGCATGCACACACACATATTCTTTGAAGTATACACACACATACACACACACACACACACACACACACACACACACACGCGCGCTTCTTTCAAGTTCTGGTCAATGCACTGAATCTGAACAAAATGCATAAAACAAGCTCGATGTCCGTGACTCACACTTGTAATCCTGATTGTTCCAGAGGTTAAGATCTGAGAATTAAGGTTTGAAGCCAGCCTGAGCTTGAGCAGGTAAGACTGTGAGACTCTCATCTCCAACTAAGAACCACAAAAGCTGGAAGTAGATCTGTGGCTCAAGTGGCAGAGTTCTAGACTCAAGCAAAAAAGCTCAGGGATAGCACCTAAGCCCTGAGTTCAAATCCCAGGACCAGCGCGCGCGCGCACACACACACACACACTCTCTCTCTCTCTCTCTCTCTCTCTGAATAAATAAATCTCAGTTTCTAACTTTCTAAAGCCAAAGTCCAGTCTGTGGGCCCAGGGTGGCTTGAATGAGGCAATGCAACAATGTGCCATAAGAATATAGCCAAATGATGGCTGTCAGCTGTCAAGGCCTGGAATATTCTTATTTATGCCAGCACTCCTCCTGCCCACCACTGTGACACTCTAGGCTTGGGCCTGGAGATTATACTGCTTTCTCTTTATGGGAGCCTGGTCTCATGCTCCTTCCCTGCACCATATGCATTCCAGAAAGTCAGCTGTCAACTGTTCAAAGGAATGAGGACTGCCTTTTGTCTCGGGAAATGAACCTAGCATGCAAAAGAAGCAGGCCTAGCCCCATGCTCACAGAGCTGTGAAGCTGTCCACGTGGGCAGCTCAGCATGTCTGGAACCTCACTGTAAAAAGTGAACAATAAAGGAAGTCAGGAAGAAGGAAGGAATTGCGGTAATTATTTTGCATCAAATTCTTTGTAGGCAGAGAGATCAGAGGTCACGGCCAAGGCTGGCTGAGCCTGTCTAGCCTGTTCTCATGCCTCTGGCCTGCCTCCTCTGGTGTGGCAGAAAGATCTGCAGGATTTTCCTCAAGTTCCATAGCAGGAAAAAGCTGTCGTTTTCTCTGCAGCATGTTGCATCCCCGAGAATCACTTAGGGAAATAACCAAAAGGTCAACAAAATAAATACCAAGAAATTTTGGGTACTTGAAAGAGGTAGGGTGAGGTCAAGCTAAATAAAGAGAAGAGGGGGGTGGAGAATGCAGTCAAAAATTCAGTGCATATCCTATACAATTAAGAAAAATGAGGGAAGGGGGAGGGTGGGGAGGAAAGGGTAAGAATGCTGAAAGTGGTGACATCAAGACACACTGTATTCATAAAAGTTGAATGGGAACTCCTTTGTACAACTACTTAAGGATAATAAAAATATTAAAAACAAAAATCTCCTTGAAGGTATGATCTGAGTTCAGACCATGAGATGTTCAGTGACTCTTGAGAAAGGAAATTTATTTTCCTGGAACTTGTGCCGGACCAAACCCATCATATTGGATGTGTGCCAACACATTCCATTTTCTGTTCCCCTCAGTAGCCTATGCTATGTGGGTAAAGACTGCTTTTTTCAATGCTCCAAAGGGAAGATCTAAGTGATGGCAATGGGTGTGGAGAAACTGGAACCCTGTGAGTGGCTGGTGTGAACATAAAATGCTGCCGTGGTTATCAAAACATAGGATCCAGCAGTTCCACTTATAGATTTATTTATATACCCCAAAGAGTCAAAAGCAAGGATTCAGCCAGGTACTGGAACCTCCTAGCTTGCAGCAGCATTGTTTGCAACAGCCATGATGTGGGGAAGCAAATCAAATGCTGGTTGACAGATGAGTGGGGTACACACACTCCTGAAGCAGGAAAGAAACTCTAGCATAGGCTACATTAGGCATAACCTAATCGGTGCAATCAGTGATCAGTGTGAAACAGGTCAGGCACAAAGGGACACATTCTGTGTGATTCCACTCATAAGAATCCCTTAAGGAAGTCTGATTTGTAGAGGCAGAAAGTGGAGTAAAGGCTTCCAGGTGCTGTGGGAAGAGAGTATGACGTTTACTGACACTTACTTATAGAGGCTTACTTTTGGATAATTTTTTACAGAAAGCTTTAGAAATGGATAATAGTGATGATGATGATGCAATCTTGAGAATATACACAATGTCACTGATTTGTACCCTTAAACATGGCCAAAATGGCAAACTTCATGATAATTATAATTTGCCACAATGCAAGAAGGGGTGAGGGGTGATGGGCAGGCATCAGTGATTCACACCTGTAATCCGAGACTGAGATCAGGAAGCCTGCGATTCAAGGCCAGTCCCAGTATCCACACAAATCTCTTCTTAACTAATAGCTGGGTACAGTGGGGGCACACTTGTCACTTCAGTTATGTGTGAGGGTGAGATCTAGGGGATTGTGGTTATAGGTGTGCCCAGAGAGATAAGACCACGAGATTTCATCTCAGTGGAAGAATCTAGGTGTGGCGGCATATACCTCTTACCCCAGCTATTATGGTAAGTATAAAATAGGTGGACTGCAGTCCAGGCATGAGTATAGGTGAAAAACAAGGCTTATCTGAATAATACCAGTGTAAAAAAAAAAAAACAGGGCTGGAGGCATGGCTTAGCTAGTAGAGTGCTTGCAAGTACAAGTCTCTGAGGTTAAGTACCCAGACCTGCCAAAAGAAAAAAAAAAAAAAAAAGGAAAGGCAGTAGGAGGAGAGGAGGAGAAGCCAAGGTGACAAACAAAACTTACAGGATATAGGCAATCACTCCAATGGACCAGCAGTCAACGGCTTTGCTGTAAGGCTTCTGGGCAAGAACTTCAGGAGCTGTAGGATGACAAAGAGACACAGGCCTGACAATGTAGATACCCAAGACTGTAGACAATGATGAGGGTTCTATAGTGTGGAGTTTCTGTGTTCCCCATTTCCTATGTGGTCTGAACAGCCTATGAGTCTAACAAGTGAACAGAGGGCTGGGGCCCAGTTCATTGGCCCAGCAAATACTCTATATGCATAAGGGCCTGGGTTCACGTTCAATGCCAAATAGCAAGGATAAAGAAGTAATAACAATCACGATAATAAATGACCCATGTTATCAGTTGGCTTTTGTAACTAGAAAAAAAATACAAAGGTAGGTGTAGGTAGGTAGGTAGGTGTGTGTGTGTGTGTGTGTGTGTGTGTGTGTGTGTGTGTACAGATAATTGGCCAGTCTTTAATGGGTGGCTTTCAAATGGCAGTACTGTGCTAACCCAGACTGGCATGAAAAGGGAACAGTGGATCAAGTTGGGGTATGGTGTACAGGATTTCACCCCAACTAGACTCACAGCGGTGTTTCTGGCCCTAGTGCAAGGCCTTGTATGGTGCTGTGGGGACAATGCCTTCCTCCCTCTGCTGTCGTGGAACTTAGACTCCGTCTAGCATCGGGAATCCTGCTTGAAAGGCTGCTCTGGCTCATTCCCTGAGGTTTGGGGGCGACTGGGAGGTATTTGTCAACTTTCCCATTTCACTGCTAGCTGTGAAGCAGGAAAATTAAATGCTACTTCCTCTCCCCTGTTAGTCTTAAACCTCTATACCATGGGCAGTCAGCCCTCCTGGGGCCTTGGCTCATCTAACACCATTCCTGTCCTCCCTGATCCTGGCTTTGTGGCCACAGCGGGATGTCAAAGGTCCACCCTGTGTCTGGTGCCTTGCAGGGTCTGAAGGTGGCGCTCAGTGTGTATTTGTGCACAGGCCATATACACAAAACTGTGAACTGCACTGACAGGCCAAATCTTTCTTTCCCTGTAAACATTTCTGCCTGAGATGTCCTCAGAGCACAGTTTCCAGAACAGTAAAGAGGGAAGAGAATATATTAGCATCGCTGGCAAGGCCCAAAGCTACGTATGCACTGAATTATGTACTTCTATGGGCTTTTGGAGCATTGGATTGCTTACCCAGCATTCTTGGGGTGAAGACTATATCACAAGAGGCATAATTTCTAAATTACAGGTGAGGGGCAGAGGTACTAGTGAGTGAGTTAGCTAGCCAAAGTGATCCACACTGGGATTATGAGAGAGTAGCCCCTGGTTTTGGTTTGTTTTTTTTGTGTGTTTGTTTTTTTTGTTGTTGTTCAGTCTCATTAATTCTCCTATCTCTGCCTCCCTATGAGTAGCTGGGATTATAGGCATGTACCTTTGCCTGGTCCTCAGTTTTGTTTTCTTTCCCCAAGAGTAAACACACATGGCCATGCTTTCTTTGCAGCATTCTGCCTCAATGCAGTAGCAAAATAGGCAAGAGAACTAGAACTCACGGGATGTCACCCACTGGGCACGAAGCCCTTGGACAGTTCACGGCACTGATGCTTTTTTCCCTGCTCACCGCATATTTCTCAGACGATCCTATGGGAACCAGCAGCGGGCAGCATTGCCATAGTAAATGCCTTTCTGATTTAGGAGCTGTGCCCTCTCTCTGGTCTGCTGTGCTGGTCAGATGGGCATGTGGGCACTGCATGAAGTGACTGTGTGTGTCTGGAATCTCCAGGGCCCTGGTCAAGGCTAGACTGAAAGTTCATCAAAGACAGCGAAGGTTCAAAGAGCACCGGTGACCAGGTTCCCTCTCATAGAGTCAACATAGATGTCAATAGTGTGGAGCCATGCTGGTGGCTGGAGGTGCTCCCTGGCCCCTTTCAGGGCCCCACAGGGCCACCAGCGGGATGACAGCCAACCTGGTCCAGCTAATCCGCTGAGCCAGATATCAGATGGGACAGAGGCACAGGCTGTGAGCCCAAGGCCAAGAGCACAAACTCGTGTCACACACAAGGCGCCCTATGGTGACACAGGGACGGGACATAGAAGGAAACCGATGGCAGCAGCTCTGATAGCTATTTTTACAGTGTATGAGCCAAGGCTGGGCTGATGGCCCAAGTCCCCATGCTCACAGCGTCTCTCTGGGTCCCATTCTCTCCATCCCACGGATTTCCAGTGCCATGGACAGTGGGCGGAGTCTTTTCACATCCGTCTCCACTCCTCAGCTGTCACAATCAGGGATTTACTAGAACCATCTACACATGCAGAGACCAGCACACCTCAAACGTTTCAGCTTTCTGACAAAGCCACCAACATATCTGGCAGCAGAGGGAGGCAAACAAGTGACTGGTTTATATGTAGCATGGCATGCGGGTGTGACTTTAGAGATTCAGATCCTTGCATTCACAGACTGACTACCATTCGACGATTTTTAAGTTCTGCAAGTTTGTCAGTGGGGAAGTTCATAACATCAAAAGACTTTTGCTAGTCTGGCACTTGCGGCTCACAACTCCTGTTATCTTAACTACTCAGGAGGCTGAGATCAGAGGATCACAGTTTAAAGCTAGTCTGGGTGGAAAAGTCTCTGAGATTACAACTCCAACTAATCAGCAAAAAGGTTGGCCTAGAGGCTGGGCTCAAGTGGTAGAGCATCAGCCATGAGTAAGAAAGGTGAGAGAGAGGCTCTGAGTTTAAGCTTCAGAATCAGTAAATATACAACATGTTTGCTTTTTTGGATCAGTAGCCTGGCTATGAGAAGGAAAGTTCTAAATGATCAATAAGTAAAATATCAAGATAAGAATCTTTTGGGTGGAAATGTATATATTTACCCCAAACTATTCATGTTCTTTTTGGCATTGTGTCTTGCGTGACAACAAAATAAACTTCAAAAAAAACCCCACTCTAACAATTGGAAAAAAGCAAAGCATTTGTTTTCTAATGAAGTTCTTAATTGCATTTAGAAACACATGCAGAAGTATAACCTAACAATAAAAAAAAAAAAACAAAGCAAACTGCCTTGGAAATAACATTCCCACCCACTCCAAATATCTTAAAAGTTGTATAATGGCCCATACGCCTACACTCTAGATTCTAATTTCACTTATAATGTGACTGTGGAAACCAACGATGTTTTGAAACGGTTTGGAAAATGTTTCCCAGATCTCTTTCAATGGCTTCTCTTTATCTCACAGACATTCTTGAAAGAAAAAAGAATCTCAGGTAATGAAAACCTTCCTGGCGCTGGTGGTTCACACCTGCAATCCTAGCTACTCAGGAGGCTGAGATCTGAGGATCATGGTTCAAAGCCAGCCTGGGCATGAAAGTCCACGAGACTCCTATCTCCAATTAACCACCAGAAAACCAGAAGTGGAGCCGTGGCCCACAGTGGTGGAGCACTAGCCTTGAGCAAGAGAGCTCAGGGGCAGTGCCTAGGCACTGAGTTCAAACCCTATGACCCACAACAACAACAAAATCCATCACCACCACCACCAACAACAAAAAACTCTCCTGGCAATATGAGAGAGAGCTCCAATCACAGAGAAACCCGACGACCTGCAGTGATATTTTCTCTCTTTTGTTCTCTGTGTGCAGCTGGCCTTTGAGAGCCCGCCTCCTCCAACTTCCTTAAGTGGAATTAGCTGTGGTGCCACAGGCATCACTGGAAATGCCACCTGTCACCCACTGACACTTGAGAAACTGCTAAACCTCATTATTATGCTATCAGTTTCATTCCACTTAAGAGTTCTGCTCACTCTAGAAAAAAGAATGACACCATCTACTGTGTACAAGTCAATGAGGCACAGGGCAGGGTCTGCTGGACCTGGGAACCTACCAGGGCTCTGTAAGCCACGCCCCCTTCAATCACATGCCAGCAATGCTGCCTTAAGATGCTGGAGAATTCATGTTCTCTTCCGAGCATCTGCCGTAGCATGCTTGTGACAGATGACCCTCTACAGCCCACACCTTGTAGTGAGGAAGGCTTTTGATCAAAATAAAATAAATAGAGCTCTTCATAAGGAGAAGAGTTATTAAAAGGCTCCTGGGCCATCAGCCCCAAGGCATGTGTCCCCTGACACAATCTAGTGTAGAGAGACCTGTATGGGTGGCAGGACGAAGTCCCTGGGGGCTGCCAGCATCCATAGGGAGAGAGAGGGACTGCAATGGAGGTGTTGAAAAGGGATAGATGCGAGGTAGACAGCAGGTCTCCCCTTCCTGTTGTTCCCTTGGCTTAGTCAAAGCTTAAATGCTGGTATAGGGATATCTCTGTCTGAACAATATAGAGGGCTGGACATTTGGGTTCCCTAGTCAAAATCTCCCATGGTTCCCAGTGTACCATCTATTTTCCCTACTGTCAGCAATCCTGTTGTCAAATCCAGACTCCTGCTGCTGGGAGCCAGAGACGTGGCTCTAGTCTTTATATGATCAGGATTCAGCCCGTTGTGGTGGGCCGACATGTGCTTATTCAAGCAAACCCATGTCACCATGCACGTCATCACTGTGAAGAGAGGACGCGTTCCACATTCCACACAACCCAGGCACAAATACACTTAGCTGTCTTGAGTATTTGTGGTTAGCAGATACAAGGAATAAGAGAGAATAAGAAGGAATAAGAGAGAGAGAGACAGAGGGACAAATGGATTTTGGAGGGCCAACCCTGTCTACTGAGAAAAACGATCACTAAACACCTTTCTATGGGCAAATGACTCCTGATGGGAACTTAGGGGGTACATGTGCCAGTACTGCTCCTAATTCCTGGAACTGGTGTGTCAGGCTATCCTTCTTTTAAAACTTTTCCTCAAAGGGATTTCAGAATTACTAGGTTTAGTGCTAATGGGCTGTTATATGATCTCTTGGAACCTCCTTCCCCCACCAGAACTTGGGTGCTATGAATTCAGCTCTCTCTGTGATTCCTGTTGGAAACTAAGATCAGTAAATTGAAGTTTGTCACCATGTGAACCACGCTGCCTCAGCAGAAGGGCCCATAAGGCATTGGAGCAGTCTTTGGATAGAGAGGATCCTCTAAATCCAGGCTTCTCTCCTGCT